ATTTTAGCATCATTGAATTGGAAAAGAGCAGGGATCAGGGAAGAGTAAGGGGTGAAGTGTGTCCTTCCTTCCCATAAAAGAGATCCCCTACCCACTGTGCCCTACAGAAATCAGTCACACACTGTCCCTGCTTCAAGCCTGTACCACGACATGGCCAGAGCCATCCTCATCGCTCCCAACACCATCAGCAGTTTAACATGGGGATGCTGTCAATCAACCTGAACCAAGGAATCCCCTCTCTGTGACACATCAGGATGAATCACACCACACTAAGTCCCAGAAACCAATAAACCCTGGAATCATAAATCAAGAAAAGTAATTTCAAAGTCTCACAACTAATTCTGGCATTTTCTGGGACTCATGACGTTTACCAGCACAATTTCACTATTGCTTTTGCATTTCTTGGCAATTAATTTTCTTTATTTTGCTTCTAAAAATCTAGATAATTTAACATATAAAAGGGATGCCCACTGAAAACTATCATATGTATCAAAAGATTAGGCAAGCAACCTACACTTTGACAAAAAGGAGAAAAATAATCTGAGGTTAATAACCCAGGTACCTGCTGCTTTTGCAACAGCTTCATTTCAGGCCAACTCTGTCTCCACCTGACAAAACACCTCTACCATGGAGGAGACAGAACTCTGTAGGATATCTTGAGGGGTACCCCAGCTTTCTGTGGACCCTGAAAACCACAGTGAGAAAGGCACCTGCATGTCCTCTTTTACCCATGGACTAAGATTCCTCTGCACTATCTGGTTCTGAAACCAACACAAAAATTAAGACAATTTGCAATGAGTGTCTGCCATTGCAAGGCTACAATCAACAGCATACATAGAATAGCTTTTGTTCACAGACTTCCTTGAACTACCAGTGTGCTCTTCATAGATGATGTCACCTCTCTTCTAGCAAGAGACACACGAAAGGAACTGATGTAATTTGTAATTGAAAGTAATTGATGTAACTTCTGTTTCTTGTCCCAGTAGCATAACTTACATATCATTAAAAACACCTCAGCTAGGGATTTTCTAGGAATATTTCTGATCTAACTGCATGTACCATCACATTTTAAAAGATTCCTATTTGCCTGCTAATTATAGTCACAATCTTCCACATGAGCTGTACCAGAACCCATCAGGAACAGCAGTTTTTACACTTCACAGTAGCAATCCTGTAGTTCAGCAGCTGTAATTATGCACAGTGGGTTGAAAGAGCTTTCTAACTAAACAGATACAATACCTGAAGGAATTAATTCAGGGTTACTGCTCATTATTAACAGTCATCTACAAAATGAATGATAATTTAACTATCATTTGTCACAGCCACTAAGAGCAATCCCCAGGACAAATGACAAAATCTTAGTTCTCAGGAATTAATAAATACCTGTCCCTTTCCCAGCTATTTCCATTGACTAGGACTCCTTAAAGAGATTATCAGTATCTATGTGGCACTTTACCCAGCTGCCATATCTGTTTCTTCCCCAAGCAGTCCTGAATTTCTACTCTGCTTCCATACACACTTGGTTACCTCTGTCTTGTCAGTTTTCTTCCCTCTATCCTCAACACCTGCAGAAACCACCATATTCCTGCACGACATCAGCCCTATCTACTGTCCTTGCTCCAAAAGGAGCATGCAATTATTCCTGATCCTGAAGGCTTGGACTCACAGGACAGACCTTTTGGATGAAGAAACATCTTCTGCCATAGGAGGCACACAGAAGTAACAGTGGTGGTTAAAGCAGAGCAGCTCAAGGCCCACAGAACCCCTAAGCACAGCCAACCAATGCCAGGCTCTCACAAATCCAACAGAAACTAACAAACTACAGGCACCCTCGTAGCTTTCTTCCATAGCAGTCATCTTCCATAGATGTTGCTGGTTGCAGCTGTCTATACACAGAGAGGAGCACGTGTTAGCTTTCTTCCATAGCAGTCATCTTCCATAAATCTTGCTGTCTATACACAGATCACGTTTATCATTTTATTTCCAGTCCTAAGCATTGGTCACTTACATGGATAGCATCACCTTCAATTGTTTTAAATGCAGCCTTGCCTTGGAGTCGTGCAGCAGCTGAAGGATGTGAGATGTTCCCCAGGCAGCTGCCAGAGCTTCACTCTTCAGAGCGGCTCTGGGAGCTGCATTTCAGAGCCTGCTGGAGACTGAACGCAGATTGGAACAATCTTGGCTGCATGGAAAATGCTGCTGCAAAAGACAGACTCACTGCAGACTCCTGTTCTATCACTTTGCAGGAGCAACTCACATTCTTTTGGGAATGACTATAGCCTTTACTGAAATACTGCTTTTTGGTTGTTTTAAGCCAGATAGACAAATGATATACAAGTGAAAATTTTACTAATTAATCAAAAAGCATATGTGGACTCTGCTCTCTCCCTCTTCAGAAAATAAGAGTTCCTTCATCCCCTTCCTTATGTACATCACTTTAACAGATAATTTTCCCTCTCATAGTTACATTTCAGTCCTGATATTGCAAAAAACCCATTTTTAATAGAAAAAATAACGAAGCTACCCAATACCTCTTTTCTCAAAAGAAAGTGCTGCTCTCTAGTGGAAGATAACAGCATGATGTAATTCCATTAGAAGGAATGTTATACAATTTTCATTTAATCAGTCACAAGAAACTTCAATTAATTTCCACAAGCACTGAAACAGAAAAGTAGCAGGGCTTGTTTATTTTCTATCAGTCTTTTGGATTGGCCTGTGAGATTTTGGTATTCATTCTTCAAGATAAACTTGCTATGCATTTATATCAGTACTATAATCACATCCAAATAACCTGCCAAGTATTGGTGCATTAAAATATTAACATATCTTTTAATTTGGTCCCTTTTAGTTTTTCTGTTCTTAGACAATATAATAAGCCAATTGTTCCTTTTTTAACGTATTGAATTACCAACAGACTTTCCTAGGTCCGAATGCAAAGCTTCGTCAACCACTTTGAAGCTAGATTAGTTACCTACACAGAATAATTTAGGCAAATACTATGAAAATCTGTATCCTGTTTGCTATGGGCTTCTAAAACCATTCCTGTCTACAAGCACAGTAATACAAAATTGAGGAATTCCTGTTGCAGTGATTCTTTCAACTTGTACTGAAACAGTGACAAATGCTCAGACATCAAGGAGTATTTGTCCTGAAACAGCCAAATTTTTTCCTACTTGTAGTTCTTTTATAAAACACAGCATTCTTATACTTTTTTTCTTTAAGCATAGATAAGCAAAAAAGGGAATAGCCCTCTACACTAAATTTCTTCAAGTTATGGACCAAAGCAGCACAGTTCTGGCTTTACTTCCAGCTTTCCATAGTCATAACAGAAAACCTATACAGCTGTTTTCTTTTCTCTCTGCAGATAAGACACGTGTGTGAAGTAGTTTCCTTATAAACACACCAAGAAAGTACTTCATTTATTAACAAGTTGAAATTTGTTTTAAAACAGATGGAAAAAATGAAGATGATGAGAAAGCAGGATATGGTTATTCAAAAACATCCTTTTCTTCAAAATTTACACTTAACTAATTTCAATTAGCACATTAATTGGAAAATAGAGGAAAATGTGAAAAATATTATTTATTTTTAAAAAATCAAACCCAAACTAAAGCAAAAAATTTTAATCAAAATGCAAATTTTAATATTCTAAAGTTCCATTTCCTGACTGTTACAACTGATGCTTAAAAAAGTTGCTTACGAGTAAAATCCAACAGCTAATTTGTTTACTGACTGTACAGAGAGCTCAAACAATAATTACTAATTCAGAGTGCTCTTGTAAACAATCTATTTTTGGTTGAAACACTCATGAGGCTGAGAGCATGCTCTAAGGACAAGACATAATGGCTTTAAGCAACATAGGTTTTATATTACTTACTCATTTATGTTGTAAAGACCTGAGATTTAAGCTTAATAATTCTCTACTGTCTTACAAACTACACAAAGAAATGGAGGTCAGCTTATCCATAAATAAATTATGTAGAAAAATAATACATCCATAAATAAACACAAGGTTCACACGTTCTTTACCTCTGCCTCTTTTTATTGTCATGTTTAAGACAAGGAAAAAAGATGTAATTTTAGTCTTAATTTTAAAACATACAAGAGAGTGAACCCAGCGTTTAAATAACGCATTTTTCTACATTTACAAAAACACAAAACCAAACCAAGCAAACCCCCCCACACCAACCAACCAACCCCAAAACCAACCAAATAAAAAACCCAACCAACCAAAAAACTGACAAAGATGTGGTTATTTGTTCCACTACAAACTCCACCCATTTAGACCTTGAAAAGAATCTTTATTCACAAAAATGTCAAGCACTATCAGTAGAATTTCCTATGATAAAACAAAGTACTTAATCAGAGGAAAGGTTTATGGGCTTCCTCTCCATGAAGCCCCTACCCACGTTAAATTGACATCTTGACAAAGAAATAAACAAATGAGTAAGTGGCAATCTCACTGAGATCACAAAGAAAACTTTAATTTATTGTAAAATTTCTATTGTTAAAACAGAGATAGCGAAATATATGTAACTTTTAGAGCAGAAAATAAATGCACTACATTCTCTATTTTCACCCTGCCAAAATGTAGGCAAATGGGGATCTTAGCATCACACTGAAAATATAACATAATTTGAGAATAGCTATGTTGGATTTCATATGACATCTTGCCTGCATGGAGTATTAATTAAAAAACAGACACCCAAAGTGGCACCTGAATACTTAAACCAATAGACTTACAGTCTCTGAATGTAGCCTTACACTTTGGTGGACAAAGAGACAAACTGCAGCACAAACATGTTCATTTTCAAATGCCAGAATACTCAGCAGCCTGCTTTTTCTTCATGAGGGCACAACTTCAGCTTCTTTGTCTATTTCATTTCTCTCCAACCCTGACCCATGTCACGAGCACACTGAGTATCCAAACACTGCTGAGGAAACACTCAGATACTTTCCCTCCATAGCACCACAATACATTTAAACATACTACACTGAAATGATTTGAAATCTATATTTATTCTGATAACTGCTTTAGTGGACTAAAGCTAAAAATACTTCCAAATTATTTGCCAGCAATGCATAAAACCAGTATCCCCTTCAATTTCTACTTTATATAACAAAATCAAAGTAGGTTGCTCAGATCCTGCTCAATTAGGAAACTTTCCCCAAACTAGGACTTCTGTAAGTTACTGGTTCCAGCAGTTAAGACAGTTGCTGTCATATGAAAAGCTATCTGTCATTTGCAATAGTCTTACAACAGTCTTCTCAGAATTTAGTAGCATCCACAATGTACAGCTTCTTGTAGATATGGTCCCAAAACAGAATCCTGGGGAGGAAACTAATTTACTGGATAATAATTCGCAATAAAAGAAACCCCATTAAAAGTACCAAAAGCAAAGAGCAAATATTTCAAACACTTCGAACAGTGTTCCTGAACTCACAAAGAATTAATCACAGACTCAGTTCCGGCTTTCTGAAGTTCCTGTTCTCAAAAGCTGTGCACTGACCTCTGCAGCTCCTGCAGACAGGACTCTTCCAAAAGCACTCTGGGCAAGCTCACAGAACTCTATTGCAATTTTCTTTCTGGTTTTTAATAAAATCTGAATACACGTTAAATAAATACTGAGTTAACAGTACTGCATACATACCGCTTGCACCCACTAAGGTTAACAGAAAGAGCTGACACTATCACATGAAAAAATATCACTTTAAAATTGTTTCCACTCTCTGATGCACTCTCTCCTTTGAGGATCTGTACTAACCACAGGTGGTGAACAACTGGGCAATTCTTTTGATACAATTTCACTTACCAATTCACTTCTACTGAGACACATAGAAGCAATAATACATTTCGCTTAATTTAAATAATGTTTGCTTACTATTTCTTGGTTTGCTATCTTGTTTTCTGTCCAAGTGCTATGTAACAATGGGAATATGAAATTCATTATGATCAAATATCAGAGGCCTCCTGGGAGGGGTTGACTCTTTGTCCGCTTTGTGTAACAGTTTAAAGAGACCTGTTCCAATATTCATTGGAATTCCCATGATGATGCACTCAGAAACACCTAGGAAAAAACCAAACAAACACAGTGAACATTTGAACAGTAAGGATTTACAAAACGACTTTCATTTGCCCATTCTGTTTTGTGTTGCCCAGAAAACATTGAACTTGACATGTAAGGACCAAGGCCTCTTCATTAGACAAAGTTAAATGTTATGGTCATCAGACCAGTATGTTACTTAAACAGTTAAATGCTACAGGGGAAACTCAACTTAACCTAAACGTCATCTCCAGTAATGAAAACCCTTCAGAAGGTTTGTTTTTAGAGAAGACATGTCCCATGCAGTGCTCACAGCAGAAGATGCAATGCCGACTTACTTCATGTTCATTCTGTGACTCAGTGCTAAGGTTTCAGTCAAACCTGGCAGGGTTCCCTTGAAACCACCCAAGTTCCCAGTGAGAAAGGCACAGAACTACTCGATCTGTAATGCTCCTGGCATTCTCACCAGTGAAAAAGTGCTTGTTTTGAAGTGGAAGATTGAGTCTGTCCCAATGATTTTTGATGGTTATAACATTTTCACTGCAATGTGCTGACACATTTCTATTCCAGATCTACCAATGTGCACAACTTTTCCAAAGAAGGTTCTATATTCAAAGCAAGCTCTTAGATGCCAGTGTTTCCCTGTCAGCATGCTGTTATGGCCTAAATGACATTTTTGCACGTTCTCAGGAGTGTAACTAGCTTGTCCTTCACATAAATGTTTAAGAAGGTAACAATAAATAGCTGTACATTTGAATGCAGAAAGGATGAAATCAATTTGCTTAAAATTCTGACTTGATTGACATTTTGAATGTATACAAATGAAGATTCAGAAAACACTGTGCACAAAGCACTGTTTGAAACTGGCTACACTAAGACTACCTAGATATACACACAAGTATATCTACTTAACTAGCTAACTTGGGCATAACACATGCCTATTTCTATATTTCATTAGTACCCAGAAACTCCCAATTCCAACTCCAGGAGGGTAGGCATTGCATAAACACATCTTGATAAGAGTGAAACCTGCTTTACTTCTTTTCTCCATTTAGCCTATTAGACAGACTTTTTAACAATTCAGTCCCAAAATACATGTAGCTTAAAGGAGAAGAATATCTGAGACGAATTACAAAATAATTTTGGGGGCATTACAAAAACCCCAAAATTATTTCAATTCCGAATATTAGAGCACATAGCAAAAATACAAAACAAAGAGACAAACAGAATGCCAGAATTCATTGACTGGGTTTTCTGTTTGCTGTGTGTGTGTGGGCATGCATACACTTGTACATATGTAGCCATGTATTTTCACAATTTAACAGATTCTTTCATGAACTCTCTAAGATGATTCAGTGTCTGCTGATGTACTTAAAATTCAAAACTCAGAAACAGATACATGTAAAAAGAAATTTCTGACAGGTATCTTGTCTGCTGTAATGAAGTGAACACTGATAAACAAGACTTCTGATTAAAATACAAAGACCCACAATTTTCATCTGTTTAGATTAGAATTAAATGAAGATATGAAGAACTTGGCCTGTTAATTTCTAGGTGTAAGTGCTAAATGACCTAAGCAATCAGGTAAGAGTATAATCTTCAGCTAGACTGAGATGTACCTGTCTTCCTATTCTTAGATGGAATGAAAAGGAAACCTGAATACCGAGTAAGGTATTAGATTTATTCAACAGCTCTAGGTGTTGAAGATAAACTTCGACAATTGAAAAACTAGAACTACTGACAGTGGGACAAATTTCCTAGTATTTCACTGAGAACTAGGGTGAGAAATAAAACCAAATTACTCAGTCTACTTTAAGAAACATCCAACAAATATGCAACTGACTTCAAGATCTCAGTCTGAGATGAGAACTAGAGAAACACAACAAACTTCCAGGACTTGTAGAACAAATTAGCCTGAAGCCTGAACTTAGCCTGAAGTTTTTGACATACCAGCTGAACAGGAAGCTTAACAAAGACAAAACTCCAATGCTTTGAAGAGGTTTTACAGATGCTGGCTAAGGACCACAAACTGTAACAAACTTTGCAATACCTACCACAAACAGAATCCTTCTGTCCAAAGTAGGCAGCATCAAAGAGATGGTCTGCAGTCTTCTCAAAAGAAGCCAGCATCAACACACTTTCCTTCATTTTTGCCAGTCCAAACCTGGTAATGCCCAGAACTTCACCCTTGATTGATGGAAAAACCCAAAGAGTAAGCCTGAATAAATAAATAAATATACTATCTACAATATTGTCATAATACCCTGATTCACAGTTGAACATCCTGAAGGTTAATAGTTTGGTAGTAATGAATATTTACATAAAACAAAAGTCATACTTAATATACAACATAAGCTGCTATAAATGGTTAATAGCTCTTGAGTATTGAAAAAATTGAAACATGGCCATGAGAAAAAAAAAACCCCACAATTATAAACTGGCTGCTGAGCTACAAACTTCAGTGGGGTCTGAGAGCACTATGCTGAATCCACTGCCTATTATCTACAGATAAATCTGACCTCAGCTGCCAGGAGACTAGAGAAGATGCTAAATCTTCATTTTTTGACTCTCCAGGAAAAAAAAAAAGGTAATTAGCTTTTTAAACTAACTTGACTTGTTCGTGCAAATATTTCTTAGAAACATCCTGATGATATCAGATTGCACACAGTCAGAAGTAGAGGCAAAAGAATGCATGGTAGGAACCCACCAAGTTGAAAACATGGCACTCTGATGCCCTTTTCTACTGCTGTGCTGCAGCTTCACAGGGTCACAGCCTTGGGGACTGCTGCTGCTCAGTACAACAAAGCTCTGCAGTCTGGGAACAAATCAGAATTCCATCCATTTCACCTAAATTAAACCCTTGCACTCCGGGAGGCAAATTGCAAAATCTTAACCTCACTAAGTGTACTCAACTCTAAAAACCATGTTGGATGTGAAAGAAAGAAAATCAATCAGTAAAGAGCAGATGATTTTATACTAGCACATTGTGTAAGACTGTTCATGTCAGCTGATTCTTTGCCTCTCACATATGGTGCAGCTGTTACAAACCACTCCCCGTGGGGTTTTCTGCACAGCAAGCCTTCAACTGCATGCATGGCTACCCAGCTGTTTTTCACACCATCACTTTTAAGATTCCTATTTTCAATTATGAAATTATCATTCCCCACTCATTATATCAATTTTTTCTCAGTCAAAATAGATCCACACTCCCCCAAAGAACTGAAGTAATTAAGCATTTTGTGTAAAACACAAATAACAGTATTAGGTCAGTACAACTTGGAAATCTAAGTCCAGAATGAATTTCCATCTCCTGAGCTCACCCACCCTTGTCAAACATGATAAAATTAACTTGTTTAAACAGGCCAATGTAACATTTAGAAAAACCATAGTACAAACCTTGTAAGTCATTAGATCAGACAATAACATGACATGTCTCCTGTCAATGCTCATGCCATGGTTCACCATTGTGTATTGAATCTCATTGATAATGGTCGTCCGAGCAGCTTCAATTCCCAGAGTTTTCTCTACCTACACAAGAGATGGTTACATGATTGTTGCATGTTACATGAATGAAGAACCAAGTGCTTGGCGCAAGTATATTCCTGGAATAAATACCATCTGATGGCATACTGATATTCCATTTCTATGACTACCCTTTTAAACTTCTCCATTTAAAAAATATTTATAGGAACAGCTGCTTTGTGGTGAACAGTGCTGTCAGTGAATTATTCTCTTGTGTTAATGCATTCTGACATGTATTAGTGGAATTGGGCTTCATTTCATGTCAACTGCTGCATCTGAGCACAAACAAGCACTTGTAATAAAGATGCTATGGGGAAAATCCCACAGCATCCATTTAGACATTACCTCATAAGTGTTGTTAGAGGATGTTTTTGTTCCTTTCACTCCATGAGTAGCCATAACAGCTCGTAGATTATCACCTTCAACCAGAAGTTTGTATTTTTCCTTTCCACTTTGTTCATCAACATGAATGACAGCTCGGGAAACCTCTGGTATGCCTTGCACTACAACCTTCACAAAACAAAAAACTTTGATGGATACAGTAACACAGTATAAAAGGGCAACACCAGCATTCAAACCTATTGACAAGGTCTACTATATGGAGTAAAGGCTCACTCAAAACACATGAGTAAGATTTCTTGCTCTTAAATACACTAGTGTAAAACTGACACTGCACTATAAACCTTTCTCACTAGCTACATTCTATATTTTATGTCATATATTCCCACACTCTGGTTTGGGGGGCTGAATGGTGGCAGACCCATACAAATAAAAGGGCAAGCTGCTAACAATAAAGGCTTATTTATCTCTGTTTTTAAAATCTAGAGTAGACAGTCCCCTCACAAAAAGCTGAAAAAATGCCAGATACTGTCATGTGGTACAATTTTAGATACAGCTGAAAGCAAATGTAACTACTTCATACTGCAGCACTTGGAATGCTTCAATAAATGTTATAAGGAAAGGATCACAGCTTCCATTTTATTTACAAATATTAGTAAAGGATGGCTTCGTTTCAACAGCAAGGCAGTACCATCACAATCTAAAAGTTACTGATCCAGCCTATTATCACTGTCAATACTGACAAGAATTATTTCATCTTGCCACCATGGAACAAATTATTACTACTGATTACCTCCCACAAAAGCACAAGACAGCCTTGCCTTTTACCTTTGGTAGCTCTTCCTTGAGGGACTGCAATACATAATACATGGAACTCTTGCTATTTTCACGAGGGGTCACACACACAACTGCTTCTCCATGGACAGCAACATCCCCAGGCTTCACTCTGAGTTTAGAGATGCAAATTGAGTAGCGCACAGTCTCAGCATTCACCTGTGCCAAAAGGCAACCAGCAAACATCAGGGTTATCACAGCAGATATCAATGTGCTCAAATAAATGCAGCAATTTTGAACAGACAATAAAAAGGAAAAATGTAAGAACCCCCCCCAAATATTCTCTTCTAAATTAGTCTTATAAACTGCATGAAATAGCATCCTATGCTGAGGGTACCAGCCCATGCATTAACCAATGGACAGAAACGGCATCCCTGTGTTTAGGAAAACACAAATATATGTTCTCTCACATATAAAGAGAACAAATAAAAGGGAAAATTTTCCAAATTTTCCAAATAAAGGGGAAATTATCCACTTTGCAAGGAAAAAAAAAAAGGGACCCTTCTAGATGTTATGTAGCCACAAAGTGAATCTATCATTCACTTAGTTTTTTTAGCTTCCCCTGGTGTGATGAGTGACACAGGATTAAGAAACCCTTTGTAATGTATCCAAGGTATAACCTGTGTAAGAACTGAACAACTCACCTCTAACCTCAGCAGTCGAATGCGCTCTAAAGACAGCTTCACTAGGATGAAACAGTCATCTGGAAGAAACACTTCCTCAATATATTCAGAAATCTTTAAGAGAGAAGGACAAAACAATTAGCATGCATAAATGGCTAAAATGCCCCATTGCAATTGGCTAGTGCATACATTTAAAGCATTAGCAATAATACAATTTTCTTACCTCTCCTAACAGAGTCTTCTCAATCCTTCCTTTAACCAGACGGGCAAAATCAGGATCATCATCTTTGTCCAACTGTGCTGTTATAATAGGGGTGCTACAAGAATAAACACACACACAGAGGAAAACCCAGGTAGGAAATTGCTCAGCTGGAGTACAGATGGCAACTTGAATTACAGCCTCCCTTATGGAATTCCTCTCTTATCTAGAGCAGTATTTAGTAAGATAAAGAGATCTTCAGCTTCCTCAGGTGTATTTAAGAAAAATTACTGTTCAGGTACTTCAGGGTGGTAAAACAAGCAAACACACAAGTACTAGTGACTGTTTTCATGTCACATGTTATTCTAGTATTATTTAAGTATGGCTTCATGCATACCTAGACATAGGTATACTTCACAATAGTGAAGCACTTCACAATAGGAGAGCAGTCTAAGGAAATATTATACTTAACAAATAATCACTTTCCTTTATTTGATTTTCTCTGTGGGCTTAAGTATCACAGTTGGGCAGACATCAGATTTTTGTTTTTTAACTACTTGCAATGAATGGTGTCTAGTATATTGCTGAGGACAGGAAAATGCTATCATGATTGATGCAAATTTATGCATCAGGTTTCACTGGGCAAAGGAAAAAAAAAACAACAGATCAAAAGAACATTTGTACCTAATAGCCTTTGAAGCATTAATGATTTCTTTGATTCTTGGCACACCCAAAGTAATATTCATTGAAGCAACACCAGCAAAATGGAAAGTCTTCAGAGTCATCTGTGTGCCTGGCTCACCAATGCTCTGTGCACAAAGAGCTCCTACTGCAGAACCAGGCTCCATCTGTGCCCTGATTAAAAAAAAATAGAGAAAGAGACATGGAACTGGATGAGGTATAAGATCCTAAGCAAACAACAACAGAAACTATTCTGGTAGATATATGAGAAGTTTGTTAATATATTATTTTAGTAAAAAAACAAGACAGGTTGAAAGGTCACCAATACTGTAAGACTGATCTCATACAAAGCAAGAAGATGCCCTGTCATATAAGCATTCCACAGATGCAGTATAACTTCCAGTACAGATTACAAAATGCTTGTCTTCTTCCTCCTAAACATCAGGCACTAGATACAGCATTCTCCCTTCAGGGAAATCCTTTATGCTAGCATTTACTTATTACAGTAAAAGTGATAATTCACATCAAAAAACACTTAAGAAAAATGTAAACAAGTAGTCCTAATAAGGGAAAGCAAAAAACTGGCAATTGCTTTAAAAGAGTTTAGAACTTAATATATACATGAATTTTCTAGAAGAATAAAACATTAGGAAACAATTGATGCAGGTAGGCCACAAAGGAGAGATCACCCATGGCTGCACGTGAATGTCCAAATCTGAGAAGTCTAAGTAGATGAAATAAATCTCAATGAATAAAGAGATTAGAACATCCACACTAGCATTAACTTGGTAGAAGCCAAGGATAACAAACAAAAGGATCCTATGAGTGCATAAGAGATCAAAGCACATTTTAGAACAAAGTGTGATGTAACTCCTCAGACTGTAGATCAAGAATAGCTATCAAGATTCATATGAAATTGGAATTCCTCTATATAGACTTTGTTCTGCATGGACTCATGGAAGGTTTTCAAAAACCTCCTGCAAGAGAGGGAGGAAGGAAACATGTCTGGCAGTGGGTGTAAGAATGTCAAGTGTTTAAACAATATCCTCCCTCGCTCTGAATCCTACCACTTTTGGCTTTTACCAGAATCTGCTGTCAAAACACAGTCTGTGGATAAAGGTCGTAAGTAGCTAAATGCCTAAACTGTGCTTGTTGGTATGATGACTATTACTTCAGAAAGAAGGTGCTTAAACACAAGCAGGTAGCTTTGCATGTTCAAGAAATACAAAATGAAACAAAGCCTTTTTTTACAATGTAAAAGGATATGACAATTTGTTAATGAAAGGATCTGATTTTGACTCAAGACAAACGTAAAAATCCCACCTGTTAGGTCTCTACAACTTTTGTGCAAGACTGCCTTAACAAGTCTACCTTGGACAGTGACACTTTTTTTTATGCCATTGGAGCCAATTGTTTCTAATTTTTTTTTACTGCATTCACAACAGAACTAAAATTCATACAGTAAAAACAGCAAAATATACCCCAACATTACCAACAAAACAGCAGCACTGCGAACACAGGAGAGCAAACACTCACCTCATGTATTTGTCTCTGCAAGTCTCTAGAAACTTCTCTAGTTGTGTTGGAGTAATCCTATCCAACTGATATAAAACTCTTGGCTGAAAAGAGAATGGAATAGTTGGAAAAGCAACCACTTATGAAGATTGAAAAGAACTATATCATTACCCCATTAAAATTATTTACCTCTGTTGTGCCATTGTCATTAATTCCATACTTGTCCCTAGTTTTTTTTATCTTCTCAGAAACACCTTTGATGAATTTTTTAATTTCCTGAAATCACAGTAAAACCAGAGTAAGCAAAGACATGGTCTCCATATTGAAGTCTTGAACAGCAAGTTATTTACTTTAAGCTCCAAGTATTTACAATAAATTAATAATGCACAGTATGAAGAGAGGAACATCAAAATTTAGACAAACACATACATTAGAGTTTAGCAATCCAGATCCACTTGGGTGTAGCCACAATTTAGTAGCAATACATGAGGACTATGGTCCATGCTGAATAAAAGCATCCTTCCTGAGCACACACTGACAGATGAAGACACCTGACTTGGGTTGATCCTTCCTTTCTACCCACCACTTACTGAAAGTGATTTAAAAACTAAAAAGACCCCTATAGCCACATTTCTCTTCACAGAGGAAAAAAAGGCACAACGTCCCAAGCATATTTCTGGGAATCGCAGCAAGGGACCTCAGAAAAGAAAAAACAATTTTTATCTCAATTGCTGCTCCTCTGTTGTTCACAAGTGGAATTAATTGTAGAAGACTGTTTACCCGAAGAGAATTGGTAATTAGATAGTGTAAGTGTTTTGAGGACCCCTATAGCCACATTTCTCTTCACAGAAAAGCAAGGCACAACATCCCAAGGATATTTCTGGGAATCGCAGCAAGGGACCTCAGAGAAAGAAAAAACAAGTCTTATCTCAATTGCTGCTCCTCTTGTTGTTCACAAGTGGAATGAATTGTAGAAGTCTGTTTACCCAAAGAGAATTGGTAATTAGATAGTGGAAGTGTTTTGAGTCATTGACCAATTGAATCCCTGTGTGTATGTGTCAAGACTTTCAGCTGACAGTCACAAAACTCTGTTCAGTTGAGCGGAGTTGAATGCTTGTGTAGATTCAGTTTAGATGTAGTGTAATATAGTATAGAATAATATAATAAAATAATTAATTAACCTTCTAATATCAATAAAGTCCTCCTCGTCATTCTTCCCTTTGTCAGGGGTCACCTTGCTTTACCATAAATGCCAACTCAAAACCCTTATTTTTTGGTGATACTGACACAAATACATTCTCATTCCTTCCTCAGTATTCAAAATAGTCAAAATGGAAAGACTCTGGCAAGGGAGCAAGTACATGAAGTATATCTGCTGGATAGATTTCAGAGATTTGAGGTGCACTTGATTTTGAGGAAAAAAAACCCTCAAAACTATTATATACATTTTAGGTAAAGACTGACATGTAACTCAAATAACTTGTCTAAGCTGTGGAGAGGTCTTGAAGATAATTGCATTTAACATGTCACACTACATAGACCTTTCACTCTCTTAACAGGCTTACCCAAAAGAAGCTCTAATTGTCTTTACTGGAACATAAACTGAAAGAATACTGTTAGAACAATATCCAACCTTTAATCTATAAAAGATCATTTGATCATTACATGTTGGATATATACATGTACACTAAAAGTCATGAAATGAGATCCATGATTGAACTCTTCCACAAACGTAGATTTGGTGCAAGTTATTACCATAACACAAGGTTATCAAAACCAAAATATAAACAAAAAGCAAGAGGAAACCCTTCCCACCTATTTCAACCATGATTTAGAAAAGCCTCCATAGAGAAACAAACACTTAGATTAATTTTTAGAGTCCTTTTAAACCTTTTCTACCCCATTACTCCTACCTAGCAAACAGAGTGATGGTTACACAGCATCAGCTCTTCTGCACTAGGTACTGGACTCCCTGCAACCAGCACAGTCAGCTCAGCACTGACAATTACTTGCAAAAATGAGTAAGTATCTGAGGGACTGGCTTTTTTTTCCACAGATGAGTTCATAGAATCATTATGAAAACACTTATATCACATTGTAACAATTCTCTCTCAAAATAACAACATTCTTACTGGCATTCAAGGTATTTCCAGAGAGTACATTATTTTCTGTGAGTACCAGAACCAAACTCAAAAGGAAGAACAGACAACAGAAGTGCTACTGGAATGGATGCTTTCAAAGTTGCTTCCCCACTTGGATGACAGGATGCATTCCTATGTTTTTCCCCTGCAGTAAGTAGCATTATTCACAAATAATATATTTGAACATTTTAAAAGCTTCTGACCTCAATATATTTGCAAAAAAATGATAATGTGATTTATTTCCTAAAGTAAGTGTTTAGCCAATAATATAAAGAGTAGTTAATCTTTTTACAAGTGCCTAAAAAAAAGCAATGTTGCAGGACTTGCTGAAGACTCTTCCTCTTTGACAGTGCCTGAGTTACACAGCACTTGAAAAAAATCCAAACAATGTCAACACAATAAATCAATTATTATATATCATTCTCAATAAGGTACTCAAATTTATGTTATTTCCATACACCAGAGTTAGAAAAGGTGGAAGATAAATCTCTGAAAACTTATTTTTCTTTGTCAAACTTTTATTAATGCACAAGACTAAAAGAGGAAATTACTTATTCTTCTCATCTTTCAGGTATCTGTTGGCTGTTTATCCAAACTATGGATTAATTTTTGCTACAAATGTCATGAAAATGTAGCTCTTTGCTGAGCCTAGCTCTCTCTCTCTGGATTTGTCATCTTTAGTGCAACACCGGACTCTGAGCACAGCTCTAACTTCCAGAGTGGACTCAAAAAACCACTGATTTTTTTTCCACAACTTCTAAATCCATGAAGTCTTAGTCTGGACCAGATTAAGAAAAAGGCACCAAACAGGCTCAGTAAGATGTGGCTTCACACAGGCCTTGCCAGCTCCTCCTTGCTGTTTAGGCAAAAGGGCAGTTCAGGGTTTGGTCAGGTGTCCCAGCAGCCAGATTAGTGGGGTCACCTACACACCAAAAGCACTGCTTGCATGGCACTCCTTGCAGTCAAGGAGCCACTGGAATTCACAGACAATGCCATGAGATTCAGACAAAAATCTGCTCCATTTCAGGCAGACCCAGTAGGCCAACTCTGCATATGACAGCACTGCCTCGCTGTGTGCTGAGCTTTTTCCATGTTTGCACCACATTCCCAGACTGCTATTCCATCATCTCAAAAAAAAAAACCAAAAAAACCCAAAAAAAACCACCAACACATAAAAATTACTTTTTTTTTGGCTATTTAGACACACTGTGTTCTGGACTGGAGTGAATAAGCCCATTAGAGGACCCTCTGACTAAAATAACAGCAGTAAGAAGCATCTCTGTTCTGGAATGGAAAAGTAGAGGAAGGGAAAGGAAAACACCAGAAAAACATGCTCATATCCCTAGAGATGGAAAGAACAACTTTTAGGAAAAAGTGTCAAGTACTGAAATAAAGCTTCCTCAAAATCCTTGAATATAGCAATGGTTATTAATTAACACATCACAGTTTTCACATTAAGAAAGTTAAATAATTGTGATGAAAACCTATGTCATAATTTAGCAAGCAATAATATATATATGCTAATCAATTACTTGAGCACTATACACACATCTTCAGCTAAAAAGCACTAACATTAATGCTCACACAGTGCACACACATGCTAGTTACCTCATTATATTTCTCATAACCTGTCTCAGTTAAAGTCTTCAAGGATGAACAGAAAAAAAAGGAAAGAAGAAAATGTAACTATCTAAAACTCTTAAGCTAATTATCACTAAGATGATGTAGCCATATCTGTGCTTCTTAAATTAATAACAATTACACTTTCATGATATAATTTAAAATACATATGGTTCAAATAACAGCTTTATCCCCCCACTCTGATATTAAATTATTTGATTTCTTTCCCTTCAGACTTGCAGTAACTATTTTTCCACTTCACTCTATCTATGGAAGTGCAATTCATGTTTATCTTGTGCTCTGAAACACTGATCTATTAAAAAGAAACCCTTCAAACACAGGTCATTAAATAAATCTTGCTCTCATCACTTTATATAGATGTAAGGTTAATTCTACAGGCAGGTTAATTCTACCGTTTTGATCAGTGATTCTTAAGGAAGTCTTGAGAATGGCTGCTCTCATAAATATTAAAATTTCCCAATGCTCTTTCAAACAAATTGAATTTTACAATTCAAAGTGCAGTCATGTAAACCTTCACTCACCCTTAAAAGCCATGTAAGTAGTCTCCAAACAGGCTAAAGTCCTGTCCTTAAATCACAAGGAAAAGTTACTCACAGTGTGATAAGGAAATGAGATAATTACCTGTAGAAAACTGTCTTGGCAGCAAAGAAATTCATTCTTTTTCATGATGGACTCGGATGTTAACACCAACTCATTTTTGCTAAGGGCTGGTTCACTTCGGCACGGATAGACAGCCTTCACAGGAAAAAACACAACTTAGCCACAGACAGCACAGGCACAAAAACTCCATTGCAAAGACACAGAACACAGATATGTAGAACTGAATAACAGCATTCTTTATTTCTGGTTGTGTCTTTTTGTAGTCTGCTTAATGAGGTTTTTTTGGTTGGTTTTGGTTTACTATACTATATATTAGACTACTGTGCAAAGAAGGGCCACATCCACTCCTACTTATTTCTGCAAATCTTTAAGTATACACCCAGACATTTCTAGTTCTACCCATTTTTTTTACACTCATATGACAGAAATCTAACCAGTCACTTCAGCAAAAAGCTTTTTTCAGGGGGAAGAGGGTCATGACACCCCAAGCAACCAACCAACCACAAAACCAAAAATGAACAACACAAGTCTCCAAACATGACGATATTATTGAACAACCACCAGCCAGCTGAACTCAAGAAACATCCATGTCTTGATTTAATAGAGAATTAATCTGTGCAATGGACCAAATGAGTACCCAAATAAGCCAGCAGTAACTTATCTAGTGAGCTGGATATTAGGCCATAAACCTATGTTCAAGCAGAGAAAGAAATATTACTTTTCACAGCTTATACATGATTTGGTCTCTGTACACAAATCGCTCTGTTCCACTGGAAAAAATACCTATTACTCTTAGAATACATACCCTGAAAGACTGACCAGGACCACTCAAAGAAGGCAGTTTGAAAGTAAATACTTCCAGTGAAACAATTTTCCTTATTATTTACTACTGTCTTCTCCCTGCTTAACAGTATTTTCACACTTTCAATAAGGATTTCAGCAATCCTTACCCTGATATTGTCTAGAACTCTCTTGAATTCCAGTGGTTCATCCTTTCCTTCCATAGCTGCAGGATCCAAGCCATCTCCTCCATAAATAAACTGTATAATGTCACCAGTAGAACTTCTGACTGTTAAATCATACTGTGAGCAAAGATCTTCAAGGGATTTTACCAGACGTCTCTGAAGGCAAAAAAAAAGAGGTACAATGAAAGTAAAATGGATCTCTTTAAAAACAGCTGTTGATTTGCAATACAAGAAGTACAGAAACCAGACTCAGGAAATAAATCTGACACCGTGATGAGCAGGCATGAAAACCCACTTAAAATCATACATTTTTCCTCAGGCTTTACTGTACATTCCACAGAACATGAAGTCAATAAAATTTCATGCAACAACACAATATTCCACATTTAGAATTCCATTGTATAGAAAAGCTAATGACTTAAGGCTAAGCTGCAAAAACATATCTTGTTCGAGGGATTTGAGTGGGTTTTTTTTACTTAACACTCATTCTTCCAAGCAGATTTATTTCTCAAGGGATACAATACTTTTTGTATATGAAAGCAGAACCACTCAATGATTGTTTTCTGTGAGAAAAACCAATGAGGTCACCTGCTAAAGCCATTTTTCTATCTGGGTTATCTGCTTCTCCTACATGAACTCTTCATATTGGGAAATCTCTTAATTACCATATTCCTTTGCATTTCCAAAACGAAAGCATGCTATGAAACATTTTAGGTTAAAACCATTTTTACTTGAAAGATGGACTTCATTGTTTCACGAAAGCAAATTAGATCACCCAAACTAGACTATAAATTTCCTCACTGGTGAGAAAAAAGGTAAGATAAAATAAATGCCAAGATTATTCCATTAGTTTTGGAGACAAATGGTCTAATTAGTCATACATACCATACGGTGGTTTTTTTCTGTCTTTGTACAGTTACTTGTGTGTCTTGGGATGTGTTCCCAGCCCCAAATTATCTTGGCTTTTCTACTGTCTGTTACACTGGGAAGAGGGTTATAATTTAAATACTTCTTAAATGTTGGAATGGGAATCTTAAGACTGCACATAACAGCAAAAAGCTTCTTGGAGGGACATTTATTTCCCAGTGTAAATTACCCTGTAATGTTGAAAACATACAACATTTGCACTTGTCCCTGATCCATCCCCTCAACATGAACATAACAAATATGCACATCTTAGCAGACTGATAAAACCCTCACTGTGCTGACAGTTACCTGCATATACCCAGTTTCAGCTGTTTTTACAGCTGTGTCAACCAGACCTTCTCGACCAGCCATTGTGTGGAAAAAAAATTCAGTGGGAGTCAACCCAGAATAGAAGCTGTTCGCAACAAAGCCTTTTGCTGCAGGGAGCTGCAGGAAGAGTGTGAAAAACACAGTTAAAATGCAATACATGTTCTGTAGATTACAGAAAGACATGGTCCATGTCATCAAAATGCTTTCTGGAAGTTAGCCAATACCCCCCACCAACACAGGACAATGACCTCAGCGTTGCTTGGCTCTCAAGTTCCATATTCCTATTTTAGATCTGAATAAATTTTTCAGAAATTCTTGCCTAGTTCTTCCAAACTAATTTACCAGAGTTGCTCCTTCCTCCTGGTCACATTTCCAGCTATTCCTTCCCAACACTACCAACACTTCCATTAAACTTGCAAAAATTGAAACTGCAATTAAGAACGTTCATTTTGCTATAGTAGTGCAAAGGTATTTGCTGAAGACTTAGGAAGCTAGGAAAAACACAACTGGCGATATGTATATAATTAGTTTTTTGAATGTAATTGCCCTCACCCCGGAGGAAAGTTCTTGTCAATGACATTTATACAGGCATCCTTTCAAGTAAAAAAATCACTTTTTGTTGTTATTTAACAACAGGTAAATGATTTCTAAATCAGAAAAAAAGCTAGAGCTACATTTTATCTTCTCATCTAAACCATTAAGTATTGTTTCTTTATCTACTTATTCAGTATGCTACAGAACTCAGAAGTGGAAATTTGGCCATTTAGTCACATATGTAAGTGTCATAGCTACCACCTGACACTTGGCTAACACAAACTAGACTATGGGCTCATACCCAGAACCTTTGCTAGTGTTTATTAGATTTCAAACAGCACTTAAAAAGAAATTAATCTCACTGAATTATGTATTAACAAGTGCTTGAGAGTCATTATTGCTTCATGTAGGACTGAAACATGAAACACAGACTAACCGGTGGCACCTATCCTGAAGGAAAAAAAGAAAAACCAGAATGATTTATCTGGCATCTTCTCACCTGCTTATAAAGACACCAACACACATTCAGTAGTTTTCTTGGAAAGTATTAGTGCAGTCAAACGTAATGACAGTGAGAAACTTTAACAAATTATTTTCAGGATTCTCAAGAGAACGAAAAATGTATCATCACTTCATTAAATTAGAAAGGTCAAAGCAAGGCTTAGCTGTTAGAAGTCAAGCTAACTAGATATCCTACAGCAATTCAGAACACTGTTGTTAACTCCCAAATCACACAAAACATTTTATTTTCCACTAACCATATATGATCCTTTTCCTTCAGCATATCATGACAAAACGTTTCATCATGCATTCTCCTCAAAACAGCTTAAGGAAACTTCTTTCACTTTCCTTCACAGTCTGTTGTAAACACCCAGAATTACCTTAGAATGCTTCTCAAAGTGAGGCAAGGACCTGTTCTCAAACCCATCAGGAACACGGGACCCGCTGATAGCCTGCTGCCCCACACAAGCAATCATCTGGGATATGTTAATGAAGGAGCCTGAAAAGACAAAGAAAGTCCTCCACTCACAAATGAGGAATATCCTGCTTCCCTGATGAACTTATCTTCACTTCCGAGAAGGCGAATTACTTAGCCTCATAACTGCTCAGCAAAACAGAACTCCAAGAATTAGAGAAGCTTTTCTGTTACTTGTCCTATTAATTTCAGAATTTATGCAAAGTCTTAAGTGTATTTATGCACTTAAGTCTATGATACAGCCAACAATTTTTCATTTTTAATTCCTTTGGGTCATAGACATTCATGCCATTATTCAGCTCCCGTCCTTATATTATCTAGGGTTGTATTACAGATTGTGTTGTACACAGCCCATGATCCTAACCCACATATTTGGCTTCACAATTTCTTCAATAAACATAGTTCAACAATATTTTTCATAAAGGGCTCAGTGTCTACCAGGACTCCTAGAACAAATTCAGTCCCAGAGAATTAAGTCACTAACTCAGAAGTTTTATTTGCGGAATATGTTTGCAAACAATGCCTCCCCATCACCCCCACAAAAATTAGACAATATAGTGTCTTAGATTTCAGTATTTCTTTAGAACACAACATGTCACTGTGAGGCTTTCCACAAATTATTAGACAGATAAAGGCAAAAGTGACTTCTTCAAATTCTTAATGGAAACAAATGAAAACTCACAAGAATTCAAGACCTTACAGCACCTTTCAGTACCTAAAGAGGGGCTACAAGAAAGGCAGAGAGGGACTTGACACAAGGGCAGGTAGATAGAACAGGGGGAATGACTTTAAACTGTCAGAGGGCAGGTTTATATTAGATATCAGGAAGAAACTCTATTACGAGGGTGGTGAGGCACTGTTGCAGGTTGCTCAGAGAAGCTGTGGATGCCCCATCCTTGTCTGGTGAAGGTGTCCCAACCCATGACAGCAAGGTTGGAAAGATGATCTTTAAAGTCCCTTCCAAATAATTCCACAGTTCTACAAAATGTTAGTGCCAATTCTGAATGTATCATTTACTGCTGATTTTTCTATGTGATATAAATATTGAAGTAGAAACACAACTGAAAACTTTTCACTGAGTAATTAAGTCCTAAGAACATCTGCAGTTCCAACAAGATGTTTCGCAACTTGTACTAAAAATCCAGACACATGAATAGCAGAACATCAGCTTGATTTTGGCTAAAAACCCAACTTACTGAGCAACTTGAAACAGCTATGACATGAACTTGCACAACTGGCAGTATAAAAAAGCTATAAAGATGGAATAAGTAAGTTTCACATAAGTGAAGCAGTGAGCAACCTACATGTCAAGTTCAGCTGTCCCTACCTTTAGAACCACAGAGAGCCATGATCAGGGGACTGTTGCTCTTGTCCAGTTCTCTGAGACAGGCACTGCCAGCATGATCTCTGATAACAGACAGTTCTTTAAGGATTAAGGCCTGAAATACAGTATTTCAGAGGTTCAGAATTTGCTAAAAAACACTTATACAAACAGAACTCTATCACTCCCAGCAACACCTTCAGTAGTAAAAGGGAATTCAAAACATACTGAAACCCAGTTGTTGCTTCAGGCAAAACAATTTTAAATTTCAGCTTGCCTAACTTCCAGTTTGCTGAAGGAAATGTATTTGTTGGGATAAGACAGAGGTATCCAAGAACATGACAATCTCTTATCAGCATCAAACACATCAGCTAAATTGAGCTTTGCACTAAGCTCTAAGTCACACTGTGCTGCATGGAAGATAAACATGAAAATCTTGATCAACATAATCAACTCCATTCCAATTACCTGTGTAATTTTATTCTCTTGTATCACCCCAATACACCCTGGAGGATTTCAGTTGTTCTGTGTTAAGCTAACATTTTTTAGATGCATACAAACATCTTAAGCCTGTACAGACTCAGCTCAAGTTACATGCCTAGGGACTGTATTTGCCTGTATTTTTAGGTTTCAGAAGACAACCATAGACTTTCAATGTACAAGAATATATTTGTCAAGCCTCTACTCCAAATTAAGTGAATTTAATTATAAATTTTACCTCTAGTGTCTCTTCTGCAGTACAACCAGGCTGCTGCTGTAGCTTGCCAGTGTTCAGAGCTTCAATATACTCATCACATTTCTTATAGCCAGCATTCAGGAGTTCATACTTAGCTTTTAGCAGGCCCTGCCCAGGGGTTACATCACCAATTCCAATTGAAAAGCCACGATTAGCTATTATTAAAAAGAAAATAAATTTTGATAGTTCAATCTCATATAGAGAAAACAAATTAAACATTTAAATTTTGCCTCCCATCATGTGATCATCACAAGCACTTCATAACCACAATAATAATAGCTTCACTGGCTCCCACCTTCAAAACAGGCTTATTTTTTTTAAAAAGCACAGCATGTCATATTTAAAGCAAAAATCTTGCTTGCTCACTATTTCTGCATTAAAGTATATTTTACAAGGAAATGTACTTACAAAGATAGACTGGAGCAAGCCTGGCCAGACGTGACATGGCATCTGCAGCTTCCACCTGGCCCCAGTCTCTCAGCAAGATGTAGAAGATGTTGTTCTTGGATCCTGACCCCAGTGTTCCTTTGTCCATACTGCCACTCATTAACTCGCTGTTTTGAATTGTGACATCTAGAAATGAAAAGGCAAAAGAAAATTCACCAGTTTTCTAAAACATTCACTACCCACTAGTAATCACTTACAGAATTTTTAAATAAAAGCTCTATCTATGCTCAATATTTTCAATGTGAATTCAGGTATCATCTTCTTGAAGCATAAGTCACTTCTCTATCACTTATTACGCCAAAACAAAACATGATCCAGGTTTTCTTGAGACTTTTGAGAATTTTCAGAGAACTTGCTGAAGAGCATTACAATGTCTTCAGAAATGCATTTTTTTCAGAGAACTGAACACAGCCAACAACAAAATCTACAAGTTTTCAATATCATGTGCTCCTGTTAAACTCAGAAAATGGACTCTTCCCATATTTTCTACAATTAATAGACTGTGAAATAAAGACAGCAAGTTATGCTCACAGGAGTGTGAGCAGGATTGCTTTGTGGCCTTTTGTTCTACAATATTTAGAGGCTTAAAAAAATTGTTCCACCATGTTCACAACTGACTTCATAGCACAGAGTGTTCCTTTCAACTACAGAAATCACTCAGTCATTTGTGGAGAGGACTTGAGCGCTAACTGGAAAATTCTTTCTTGAGGCAACATTGCATGACAGAATTAGTGTAAATCAATGGTTCCTCAACTTACAGTTCTGAGCAGCAAGGAACCAGCCTAAGCCTGCCTGCTCAAGTTCCTTTCCAACAGTCACCACACAAATGTTAAATTAATTCTAAGATAAGTCTTGCTCATCTCCTACAGCCTTTTCAACCATGGTGCTTTGCATTCCATCTGACAACTGACATCCCTAACTGGAAGGACATGGATGGTTGGATATCCTAGGGATTTATCTTCCCTGCATATTCTAACTCTTTACAGTGTTTGATTTATAATCCCCTGCATTAGTACCCCCTGTCAAGAGACTGAGCTTTTTCACTTGCCCTCTGGACAACCACCTCCTAAGCTTTGTTTTCCTCTCTCTTGCCTTCAAACAATAAGTTAGCATCACAACAAACTGAGCATCATACAAAAGACATTTTAGTTTAAGAAAACAGACTTCAGCTCTCAAGAAAAACTGCAATATTTTATTTTTCATTTCAAGAACACTTATGTAAAGTACTGCTTCAATACCTACACCTAGTAAGCTCAGTAATTTCTATGTTTTCTTTGAAGACTTCCAAAACATGGCTTTACAAGTATCACTCACAAGAATCATTGTAACACAGGTCCTCCCCTTTGCCACAATACTGTTTGCCCTTTGTTCGTAGGTTGGCTTTTACAGGACAATCATCACTGGGTTTGAGAATGAGGCTGAAAACCTGTTTTCCTGTCCAGAGTGTTACAGGCTGAGAGAAACAGAAGGAGAAAAACAACAATTACAAGATTATGCTACAACTACAGAAAGAGTAAGCAAGCATTTAATTGTAAAATTGCTTGATAGAGCATGTCTAGAGAGAATCCTACTTGTAGAAATGCATAGTAGAATTCCTTTGAAAAACATGCTCTTTCATAGATTTGAACCCCCTGGGTGCTGAATGGTTATCCTTTACAACAGGGTATGTGCACGCACCCAGAGAAACGTGCATAACTGCTCCCTCTTACTGTCATGTTCCCCTTTCTGACTAGAAAAGGCAAAACCCTCAAAGATGCTGCTGTCATTTTACTTCTGAAAGAGGTTGCAACACCTATAATTACTTCTTTATAAAGTACCTTAGATTTAAAACTTTAGGAGTTTAAGGATTCATGTAACATCACTATGGGTCAAGAACACACAATAGAAAAAGTTTAGCTTTGAGAACAGGGGAAAGGACAAGAGGGATCAACTGGGATACTGCAAGTTGACTAATCCCTCCTGATGGGTAACAATCAAGCCACCCCTAGCCCCCAATCTTTTGCTCAAACTACTGCTCCAGTTGATCACCCCATGGAGCCGTTTTGCCTGAACCCATTCCCATATAGACCTGAATCACAAACTGCAGGTGTTATTTTCAAGCTCACATGTCAGTCAGAGCTCCAACAGGCTGCAGCCAACAATTGCATGGGTACACCTGAAGTAGAAGGAGCATTGGGTAACCCTAAAGGGTCAATGGATTGGTAAACCCTCAGCTTGGTGCTATTAATTCACACCACAGATCAAAACCTGCAACCATCAGATCCCTATTTATCTACCCTCCCTTCTCCCTTTTTGACCCTGCTCTATGAGCCCACTCCCTCCTGCCTTCTCTGGGAAGCTGCATTCTCCAGTACCACCATCTCTTTTCCAGCTGGTCCATCTATGTGCAATTCCCAGGCTGTCAGACCAGAAGCAAATGATGGAACTGCTGGTAAGACAGAGACCCTAGCCCAGCAGCAATCTCTAAGGATAGTCAGGCAGAAGCATACTGATGACATCTACCTACACTGCATTTTCCCCAGATGTAAAACCTAAAGCTATTAGATTAACAGGTTGTAACAGTCCTAATTTATTCTGAAGTCCTTTTTGCAGAGTTTTCAGGTAGCTTTAAAGTTGTAAATGTTCCACACCAAATAATCTCAATTGTATTGCAGATTTCACGTGCAAGTTAAGAACTAAAGGGCTCAGCCCATCTGTCACCAGCAAAATCCCAACATGTGTATTACCCACCCCCATTATCTACCCACCCCCATTAAAACAAGTGCTTCTGCTTTTGCCTCTTCTGTCTGAGGAAGGTGAAGGTTCATCTCATCTCCATCAAAGTCTGCATTGTATGGTGTACAGACACATTCATTGAACCTGAATGTCCTATGAGGTTTTACTCTAGCCTGGAAAAGAAAAAAAAAATTATTCACACACAGTCAAGCATGGCTGAAAAAAAAGCCATGCTCAAGTGCTTCCTTTTTATATTACAAACATGAATAAAAATTCCTGATTACAGGATTCAACTCAACAGGAACTGACAGGAGTTGTAGTCACATTATATTATAGAAATGTAGCTAATAACTTTCATTATGAAGTATTTATAAAAAGCACATAAGACAACATGCTTTATAGAGATCACATTAATGCCACACAAATGAAATGCTCACACAAGAAGAGAGAGCAAGGTCAATTATGGCTCTTGGAAGAAGTGTGCATACAGCACCTGCCTGGGTATACATCAATAATTCCCACGCACAGGCACAAGCGCACTGCATTCCTTCTTGCTCCACACAGTTTCAGCAGGAGCAGGTATTTTTTTGCTTGTGTAAGACAAACACCATAAAGGCCAAGAGCGTGATATTGCAGGCTGCACTGTCTGTGTGCACTCACAATGTGAGCCATGATGCTCAGCTTGTGCAGAGAGGGCTGTCGGTTGAACAGGACGATGTCACCATCTATCAGATGTCGCTCCACAATGTCACCAAACTTCAGCTCCTGGGCCATCTTCTCTCGGTTCCCGTATTTCAAAAATCTTCATAGGAGAGATAATAATGCAGTCAGAAGATACACAGACACTAAACAGAAAGACAACTAAAAATTCATTCTGTCTTTATAATACTAACTTTTCCATTAAATGCTGGAGTATTTGTATCACAATAACTACAAGATGAAACTGGCATGGACTGAACAAAATACTGTGCCATTTTAAGCAATTAATGTATTTTGACATTAGTCAACAAAGCTACAGTGATTAAACATCAAGTAAGAAAAAAGTCCATTTGTAAATACACAGATTCAATTGTATCAGGATATAGGAAGTTTCACTCATGTATTACCCCTCCTTCTTACACATAAACTGACTTTAGATTAGCTCTCAGGTGAAAACAGCCAGTACAACTTGCCCAAAACCACCTGTTTTCACTTGTGTCTGTACTACATCCGCCATTTCAACCAAGATGGACTCAGTCACAAAAGAATGTAAATCCAACTGCAGTTCATCACCATTAGTATATGCCCTTTAGTTTAAATGCAAGAGACTATTTCAAAAAATCATACAACAGACTTGAGAACATAAAGATAATTCTTTTTCTACTGCTCTTTATGAAAGATTCTAAAAATGTATTTTACTCCCCGCAGATAAAATTCCTTCACATAGCATCAGGAACAAGTTGATGGGAGAAATAAAAAGTGAACCATTACAGATAATCATGATACCTTTTCATTTGGGTGTGCCTTTGCTGTATGAAGTTTGCTCCAGGATGAACATCAGGACCATTACAGACAAGTTTCCTCATAAAATTAATATTTGCTTTGTTCACCTGTTACATAAAGACTTCAATCAGAAAAAAGCAGAAGATGATTCAGGATCTTGTTTTTACTGGTGGCTTGTGTTCTCAAATTTTAGGCTCAACTGACAATCCCCTTACACAGCCTCCAGCTGCTGAGGGGAATTTGCAGGAAGGAACAAAGGAGAAAAACATCAGCCTATCTTAGAGCAGAATATCAGAGGGAAATTAAATTAAAAATCTGGGAGGGAAACTTAGAAACCAAAGTACCCAATCACTCCTTTATAAAAACCTATGAATGAATTGAAAAAATATGAAGCAGATCTCTTAGTTCTAGGGACGTCACTCCTTACACCACATCTTGTCAGAACTTGCATGTATACAATACTACAGATCTTTACTTGCCAGCAGCAAGAGAACTGGCAAAGCATCAATGAATGGCATTTCAAACAGAATGCAGTATATCCACTCCCTTTTAGAGTGAGTAAAGAAACAACACTGAGGTCTGACTTGGGGAAAAAAAAGGAATAGAAAAAGTTTGAGTCCTACACTACTTACCTTTTCAGGAAAGGTCAATATTTTAGCAACATGAATAGGCACTGCTACTTCATCTATTCTTAAGTTAGGATCAGGTGAAATGACTGTTCTGCCAGAAAAATCCACTCTCTTTCCAGACAGATTGCCTCTAAACCGACCTAACAAAACAAAACAGTTAAAACTCTTTAAATAAACATAGTTTTCAAAATGTTATGTACTAAGACAGTACATTAGAACATCTTTTAAGGTACAGCACTGAGGTGCAACACAGCAGTAGCAGAAGGAGACTTGGCAATAGCAAAGATTTGTGGTTCAAGTTAAAAAATTAATTAAAAGCAATTTTTTAGACAAACCTTGCTTTCCCTTAAGTCTCTGAACAAAACCTCTGGTCCATTTTTTAGGTGCCATGTTGAGGGGTATGCCAGAGAGCTCACTATTAATGTACAGGGCACACTGCAGTTGAAGAAAATCCCAGTCTTCCATTATCATCTGTGTTTTGGCTCCTGATATCCTATGCTAAACAAAATAGCAATCCAATTCAGAAAATAAATATAACAACATGTATTAAACTAGAATTTTTCTGTTATGAGTATAACTCTTGCTTTGCAAGTATCATGAACTTCAATCAACTAGAACGAAAAAGGCAAAATAACTTTGTAAGATGATGCATATTACTATAGCATAAGGCACAACACAAGGGAAGCCAGCAAAAAAAAATCTTTTGACTAATATGGGCTTTGAACACATGCCCACAAAATCAGGTATTTCTTTAAATCACCTTTTTCCCAAACCACTTAAGCTAATATAACTTAACTGACAGGAAAATCAGTAGTTAATAGTTTCTCAACCATGGAAGAGCTGGTTCTCAATTCATTTTGTCTGCCTGACAAAGGAATAGTTTTTAGAAGTGTGAAAAGTATTATTCTGGTAGAAGTGCTCTTCTAAGCAAATGATAAAATGTCAAATCATCTTTTAGTCTCAATTTGATGGCTATGCTAAATGAAACCTGATTTCTCAAGAACGGATGGTGGAATAAATAAAGGACAAAGACATAAAAAAAGAGGAAGGTCTACAAGGAAAAAAAACAACAGAAATTGAGAGGTGTAATATTTTCATAGTAAGTAACTATGCAAAAAGTGTGGCAGTCATGGGAGAGGGGAAAAAAATTAAAAAGAGTTAACAGACCAGAGCTGAAATGAAAAAACATTTACTCCCATAAGAATCCAAGCACACCTTCAGCAGGTGCTACACCACAAGCAGCCAGTCAGCCAGTTCCATCTGAAGTAAGCTTCCCCTATCTTTCAGTAAAATGGCCAGAAACAGAAATACAGCACCAGACTGTAAGCACTAAACCCACTGGCTATATTCAATCCCACACAAATCTTTCTGAAGGTAATAGTCCCAGAGGGCAAAGGCTGACTCACCTTTTTTATCACATCATTGAGGAAAATGATCTCTGTCAGTTTCATTGTCAAATCATCCTCATTGGTGCCAGATTTCAAATCGCTCACAACAGAGGGTCTGATACACAGCGGGGGCACCAGGAGTCGTGTGAGGATCAGATCTGAAGGTTTACCTGCTTGGGGGTTCATTAGAAGTAGAGGGATGTCTTCCACTGGGATTCTTTTAAAGAGGTTCAATACCACCAAAGGATTCAAGTTTTCCTACAAAATCCATTGGGAGAATGGGGAGAAGAAGCCATCACATCAAATTTCAATGCTTCCCTCCTCCCCTTATTTTACTGCTGTTCAGAAATAGCCTTTTTCAAAAGCAAATAGAGAACTATTCATGCAAACAAAACTATGCTTTGATTTATGTATTCTGAACCAATGCCTTCAGCACCTCGAATGTTAACTTGCTATATATTCTTTCCTTCCAGTTTTTCCATATGTATGCATGTTCACTTCCTAGCATGTTGCTTGCTTGTCTCAAAAGTTAATGGAGAGTATTTCATTGTCAATAGAGAAAGCAACTCCATATTCTACAACAAACTTACAGTACATTGTATTCATTTTGTTAGCAAAAAAATCACATGATTACAGTACTACCTAGATATTTCTCTTGTCTTAGTATAGCTACTGCTGCGTTCACTACTTTTTCTATCCAAGTATGTACCTGGAAATCTTTCCAGCTTGCTAAGAGCAGAAAGAAACAAAACTGCATACAATGAAAAGCTAATGAAACAAAAAGTTAGCAAATTAGGCCTCCTCTCTCTTTCTCAGTATTAAGAACTTCTGGAGAAAAAAAGGTGTGAATTGGAATTAATACCGGTGTTACAGTGAACCTATATATACATAGAAACTTTATATGGACCTGTGTTGCTTTTTCCTGGTCTAGTTTACAGAAGCACAACACAGCAAGAACATTCCTTTCTTTACAGGCATGTAATGGTGTACCAGAACATGCTAATATACGAAATTTCTCATTTTAACAAAGTTAACATGATTGCACCAGATATAAACATTCTTCATGTATCTTTTGATATACAAAATTCTTGGATCATCACAAGACTTTAGCTGATACATTGCAACCCTTGAAGGAGTTTTATTTCATGCACAAAAACTAGCAAAAAATGTAGATTATAATAAAATTCACCTGAGCTCTTCCCAGTAAGGGTTCTACTTCTTTGTTATATTCAATGGCAGTTTCAAAGGACTGGAGAAAAGTAGATACTATTGGATCTACGACTTTCTTATTTGTCTTGTACTTTTCATGTATTATCTTCAACAAACCACACTTCTTCACAGTTCCTGCAAGGAATTACATATAGATTGCCTTGGGATTTTATTTCAAATAACAAAAACACAAAACACCACCAAAAAACTTAAGTTACAGTTCCAAAGCAAGCTAAACTGAGTGAACGCAAGAACAAATTAAAATTTATCAGCTCTATTAACCAGCTTCCTAAACTCACAGAACAACAACAAGACAATTAAGTCACACCTTTTTATATGGATGGCTTGGTGTATCTATATGATGGTGCAGCCTCTGAGGCTGAAAGTAGGTGCTTTAGCCCACACCTTTAATTCAGCTTCACCTCATTCACAGCAGATATTTCTGAAGTAGAAGTTTCCACACTAAAAACAGGACTAAGAAGTGCCATTTACATATCTTACCAGTACCTTCTGAAGTAACTTTGGAAGTGAATTATCAGAAAAAACCTGATAAATATTTTCATGTCATTGATGAAAACTTCCACAGACAAGCTTCCACAGACAAGTCCAAATGCTCAACTTATTTCACTGAAGTATTCTGACCCATCATGTAACTTTTCTAAATGCCAACTCCTTATGCCCCCTATGCGCAGACAGAACATGTATGATAAAGCAGCTCTCCTTTTATTTAGCTGTTGAACATTTCAACAAAAAACTCACAATTTCCATGAATTAGAAGTTTTAAGTTATGGATTAACCATCTACTATGAATCTTAATACACCAAGTCCTTAAACAGCAGTAATGTGTGATCAGTGTAAGTGAAAAAAAAAACAAGACCAGATTTTGAAAACCACATACAAACTCTTACAAAAATATTCTGCCTTGAAGAAGGAATAATCTTAAGGTATATAATTTAATTCAGTGATGAAAAATGATGCTCACTCAAAATTACAAATGCTATCAATGCTTCTACGTGAACTTACTGATGACTGCCAATAGCTCCTAATATTTTAAAAACACATTTAAAAGTTTTTTTTGGTCATTATTCAAGTATCAAATATTGGTTACTAACACAATACAATACAACCAACTAGGAAAATTTCTGTATCCACACATATGAGAAGCGAATATGCATGTGTCTGGCCTTCAAAAATGCAATTACCTGTTTCTAAGTGAAGGCTAGAGAGAACACCCATGAGCTGTGCAATGAACGAGCATATTCAAGATTTTGATCCCATCACAGCCATCAAGGTGAAAACCATCAGAGCAGACAACTTGACAAACTGCTCATGTCAATACTCACCATTAAAGGCCCCACAGTAAGGACACGTGTTTTTCTTTCGGCACTTCTCAGACACTTTCTTTTTTAGCCCTCTCTTCTGAAGATAGGTAAGGCCAGGTCGTTTTAGGTAATCTAAAAACTGCTTTTTTTCTTCCACTGACAGCATGATGTGGCAACAGGTTTTGCAGATCATCTTAAAGGTAAATATGTAGAAACACAGTTGTTTCAGAGACACATTCAGAGATGTAACCTCTTGAACTACAGCTAAAGTTCTTCAGCACAGTGCCTTTTTTTTGAATGAGATACCACTCTCTTGATTGGAAGACCAAATCACATATTGGAACACACATTAAAAAGGACATAAGAAAAACACAGTCAATGAGGCAAATCTTTAGCTAAGCTCTGCAGAGCATTAAAAATTCATATAAAGCAAACAGAGCTTTGATTTACTTGGATATTCTGAAAGGCAAATTATTCTACACATATTTAATTCAAACTGCAGAAAAATAATAGACTGAATTTTTTGGTCTGAGAGTACACAGAACATCACCAAGATTGGTATTTAAATACATGTATTTTACAAAAGAAAACATGCACAAAGATAGATTAATAATGCAACCTTATTTTGGTCTTCTCAGTTAATTTCAAACACATTTTTCGTTAAAATTGCCTTTTTTAGACTAGAAACTGACAACAAATCATGATCATGTTTACCTGTAAGATGCCTATCACAGCTTTGAAGTACCCAACGTGAAAGCATGGTAGCTCTAAGTCAATGTACCCATAATGCCCTAAACAGTCAGCCAGACTTTTCCCACAGGTTTCACAGGGACGGTCTTTTTCACTGGTTCCCTTCGGGAGAAAGAAAACACATAGAGAAAAAAAGTTAGCTGTAACTGATGGGATAGATACAAAATAGAACAGTTTATAAGCTAGTCAGGAATCCTAGTAGCAGAGCCACTCCTTTTCCCCATCATCAGAAGCACCTCAATAGCATTACAGTCACTCTGACCCTTAAAAAAATGGTTTTCACACACAGCCCCTGCTGACACCAATGGTCTGGACTCAGGCAGCTCTTGCAAATGATTTACAGTCCATTAATCTACACCGTGGCATTTTGGTGTCCTAGCAGTTTAGCAGAAAAGTAACTAACTTCTTGCCTCAAGAGAATGCATTCCTGCCCTCCAAAAGTGTGAAAAAAGTAGCTGCCACTGCAGCTAGTAATCTATGAAATTCAAGTAAAGACTCATCTGAATTCCCTTTGGACAAACAGTATGTTTCAGTGACCCCAACCTTTTTTTAACCACTTCAGCAATTCCCCAGAAAGTTTGGAAAACAAAAGCAAGGTTCTCACCATGCGATGGTCCAGCACTCCATATTGCAGTGGAGAGTGATGGTTGTCCTGACTATACAAATTCTTGCTGACCACTTGGATGTGAGCTTGCTGACGCATCTCTTCTGGAGATTTCATGCCAAAACATATGTGGCTTCTAGGACAGGAAAGTCCAAATGGATGTATGGGCACACATATATGTATAGACTCAAAAACACTTCTAATGGCAAGCACATCTACATACAAGTAGCACAGAACCAACTGGGTTGAAAAAGACCTTGTAGACTACTGAACTCAACCTATGACCAAACATCACCCTGTCAATTAGACCATGGCATTGAGTGCCACATCCGAGCTTTCCTTAAGCACCTCCAGGGAGGATGACTCCAACACCTCACCAGGCAGCCCATTCAATGCCTAACCACCCCTTCGGTGAAGAATTTCTCCCTGATGTCCAAGCTAAACCTTCCCAAGTGCAACTTAGGGCTGTGCCCTCTCATCCAGACACTAGATGAGAAAACCAATTCCGAGCTGGCTACAGCCTCCTTTCAGGTAGTTTCAGAAGAGTGATAAGGTCTCCCCTGAGCCTTCTCTTCTCCAAGCTGAACACCGCAGCTCCCTCAGCCTCTCCCCCTAGGGCTGCTGCTCCTTCACCAGCTTCGTTGCCCTTCTCAGGACCCCAAAGTACCCAAAAGCAATGAGGTTTATTCGCAACATTACTGAAACAGGTTCTTCTCCAAATAACTATAAAAAACAAAGCTGCTTTATAGAGAGTTGGTGGTTTTTATCTGAGGAATTTATCCCCACAGCGGGACGCAGGCACAGCCGCCCGTGCGGGAGCAGCCAGCCTGCGCCAGCGCTCCCAGAAGCGGAGCAGCCGCGAGCAGCCAGCCTGCGCCAGCGCTCCCAGAAGCGGAGCCGTGCCACGAGTGTACACCGCGGCCCTGCACGCAGCACTCCCAGCTCCGGCTACAGCAGTTCTGTCCCCCGCAATTCCGCTGCTCCCCGCCTCAGCCCGCGGGCACTCACATTTTCTTGGCCACATCGGTCTCCCTGAACTGCTCCTTCACCATCGCGGCGGCGGAGCGAGCCCCGCAGCCGCTCCGCGCCGCGACAGCGCCAGCACGCAGCGGGGCCGAGCCCAGCCCGGGCGGGACGGAGCCGGCCCCGCGCCGGGTCTCGCTAAACACACAGCCGCCACGCCCACCGCTCTTTCCAGCCACGACCGCCTCTGGAAAGCGCAGCCCCACCCGCAGCTCCACCCCTGCCGGAAGGGCCCCGCGCCGCTTTATGATTGGTCGCGGAGCGGCGCCGATCCTTTTCTCTTCCGGTCGCTGGAGCCGCGGTCGCAGCCATGGTGAGTGCCCGGGCCGGGCCCCGCCATCCGCCCCGCGCCGCCGCCATCCGCCCGCACCCGCCCGCGGGGGTATGGCGGACACCGGGTGCGGGCTCCTGCGGGCGGGCCGCCCCGCGTCCGTGCCCGCCGGCAGCAGCGAGCTGCGGGGTGAGGCCGCGCCGTGTCCGTGCTCGGCCGGAGCGGCCCCTGCTCTGATAGCGCGGCTCCAGTGCGCTGCTGCTCCGCGCGGCTGCCGCGGGTCACACCCGCCTTTATCGCGGCTGCTCCTGTGGGAAAGCCTTGTGGAAGTAGCGTAGTAGTTTCTTTTTTCAGAGAAACTTCCACTTTGCTTTAGGAGGAGCATGGCCAGCGGCTCGATGGAGCTGATCTCTTTTCTCAGCCCTGGTGAGGCTGTGTCTGGAGTGTAGTGTCCGCTTTTGGGCTCCTCAGTCCGGGACAGACACGAAGCTCCTGGAGCGGTTCGGTTCCAGTGGAGGGCAGTGAGGATGGCTGGGGGACTGGAGCGTTTGTCTTATGAGGAAAGGCTGAGAGAGCTGAACGTCTTGAGCTCCAGAAGAGGTGACAGAAAGGCGACCTTACCAGTGTTTGAAGGGGGCTAGCAGAGGATGCAGCCAGGCTCTGCTTAGTGGTGCCAGGCGAGAGTACTCGAGGCAAGGGCAGAAACTGATGCCCAGGAAATTTCACCTGAACATCAGGAAGAGCTTTTCTACTGTTCCAGTGCATGCTCAGTCACTTTTCTATATCCTCACTTCCCTTTCACTCTGCCCTTTACCTTCCACCCAATGCCATGTCCTTACTCTGGGGTCATGTACCACCATGCAAAGTGTGTAATTTTACTGAAAAGATTTGGTAAGCTCTTCTGGACCAACTGACCTGGTTTTCCTTTCAGCCAGGAGCATCCAGGAATCTTTGTGCGCCTTTGCCCTTAGAGGTGGGAAGCTGTAGAGGTGGTAACTTTTGGGCTTAGGCGGAAGCTTCTGTTGTGTTGTTAGAGTACTTGGGATTGAGATCCATGTCTTTTACAAAAAGCTGCTTCAGCTTTTCGTGGTCATGAAGGTGTATATGCTGCTGTGGTGTTTGGAAACTTGGGATGAGTTTGTCAGTTTCTCACTGTATCACTTAAAGGTGTTTTCTTTAGACCAGTCCATTTAGGTTGTGAGCTCACTGTCAGTATCTGAGGCTCCTGACTGTTGTGGTACCATGCGTTGTTTATGCTCATATTCAGTTTCTGTTGCATTTGTAGCTATTGTTTTGTTTTATTTAATGTTTTCTTTTGCAGAATGACACAGTGACCATCAGAACCAGGAAGTTCATGACCAACAGACTTCTGCAGCGCAAGCAGATGGTAAAAGACTACAGAAAACTGCCTTTATTTGTTTGGTGTTTCTGAACTGGAAGAAGGTTTAGCTGCTATAAATATGGGGCCCTTAAAATGTCCAGGGTTCTTAAATAAGGAATTGTAAGAGCATATGGGTTTAAATGTGTTGATGTATGCTCAAGGTAAATCTTGACGGTGAAGTTGTACCAGCTTGAGACTGGATGTTGAGGAAAATTTCTGCACCAAAAGGATTATTAAGCATTGGAGTAGGCTGCCCTGGGAGGTGGTTAAGTCATCCTCCCTGGAGGTATTTAAAAGACATGTTGGTGTAGCACTTCAGAACATGGCTTAGTACCATTGAGACACGTGATGGGGTTGGGTCTGCTATTGGATTTAATAATTTTAAAGGTATTTTTCAGTCTAAATGACTTAGTGAAGCAAGAAACTTCTGAATGCTTTTGTGTCAAATAAATAATTGTTTGTTTCTAAGGTGGGTTAGTTTAAGTGTTGAGCTCATGATGGGACTGTAGTACCTGGTGGGGCTGTGTACTGGATGTTGACCTTTTATCAACTTGTTAAAATTCTTTCTTAGGTGATTGATGTTCTTCATCCTGGGAAGGCCACAGTCCCCAAAACAGAAATCAGGGAAAAGCTGGCAAAAATGTACAAGACAACCCCTGATGTAATTTTCGTCTTTGGCTTCAGAACTCATTTTGGTGGTGGCAAGACAACTGGTTTTGGCATGATCTATGATTCCCTGGACTATGCAAAGAAAAACGAACCAAAGCACAGGCTTGCCAGGGTATGTTGTTTTCTGGTGTCTTGAAAGCAGGATTTGCATGTGCAAAAACTCACATTTTGTGAAAGTACAGTTGTATGAGAGCTCCTAAAATAGCACTTGTTAACTTCTGCATTGACAAAATAGGCTGTGTGCTTTTATTTTATATTACTAGGGAATTGGAAAGGCAAAACTGATGATACCAGAGGTGTTTAGCAGTAACTTTTAACAAAACACTAATAGAGGTCTAAAGTAAGCATAAGAAATGGGGCTCATCCATGTGCCTCTTCAATGTTTATGTTCTGTGTTGAATCATTCATTTGTTAATGATCTTGCTATTTAGTTAATATTTCAAATGTAAACTGTATTTGAACACTCAGAAATCATAGAACTTAAATTCAAGAGTTGTTAGTAGAGAAACAATGTTAAAAGCAACTTTTAACTGTTTTTGATAGCACGGCTTGTATGAAAAGAAAAAGACTTCCAGGAAGCAGCGAAAAGAGCGTAAGAACAGAATGAAGAAAGTCAGGGGCACAGCCAAGGCAAATGTTGGTGCTGGCAAGAAGGTAGGATGAGAATTTAAGCTAGAGTGAGCATATACCTTTGAAATGTTGATTATGAATTCTTCAACAGAATAACATTGTTTTTCTTCCATTTTTTCACCTGTTCTGCTGGATAACAGAAGGTAAACTGTGTGTTGTATAGCTTGTCATCAGCTCAGTAGCTTAGTTTTGCTCCTCACTGCTGCCAGCCTAGCTGATTTGACATGAAACTATGCTTCCTAAATTACTGTTTCCTGTGTGTCACTGTTAAACTTCATAAATCTAACAGTGTTGCTCTAATCACATAACTCAATCTCGCAGTACACACACTAGATAATCTTAACACTTGTTACTCAGGCTGCCTAAACCCCTAGTGCTTACTCCACCTGTTACTGTTGGTATGGTGTTCCTCACCAAGGTAAGTTTGTAAGGATGTGTGGTGTAGGCAGTGAGGACAATGTGTAAATAAAAATAAGGTAGAATGCCTTGGGGTTTGAGGGGCTGATGCCCAAGGTAGTGGAGTCTTCCTCTGGTGATACTAGACTGATAGAGCCCTCCTGGGCTGTGACTACAACCTGGTATAGGCAGGTTAGAGGGAGGCAGATTTCTCCTGTCCTGAAACAGAACAAAAGCTGAGGAATAGGTTGGGTGGGAAGCCAGTCACTTTCCTTCACGTCTTCTGATAGAAATTGAATAAACTGTGCAGGCAAGTGGGTTTTTTTTCCAGGTGTTTTAGCAAGGGGAAAGAGGGTAATGGGTTTTGATGCTTAGTTGTGTAGCTGTAAAAATACCTTGATATCTTGAACTTTAGTAATCTTCACTTTTGCTTTTTTCCTACTTTCTTGGAACTCTTCATCAGAAATGAAGTATCTGCAGGTACTGGAAATGAGCATGGATTTGGTGCCTGAATTATACATCACTGAAATGTGTCTATCCTTTTAATTGAAGCACTGTACTGCCTTGTATGCATGTTTGATTTAAACTTATATCTGTCCTGTGAGGGTTCATTTAATTACATAATGAATTTTATTCATGTGACTTGGAAGTAAAATTTGGCTAGTAGTAAACCAGACTTGGAAACTAGTGAATCACCTTTAAAATAATTCCCAGTGAGAAGAAATCCAAGAAACCCAATGTTGTTGACTTGAGACATTGATTCAGTCACCACAGGATCTGATTCAAAGTAGTACAGTGCAATTGCATGTGTAACTTGACCATTGTGTGAAAGGAGTGGTGTACATGAATGCTAAGTCACATCACACTTGGTGCATTTGAGATGGAGCTTGGAAATGGCACAGTTGTCAGCATTAAACTGTATTTAACTGTTGCCCTGCAGTATTCCAAGTTAAGACACAAATTACAGTGGAATTTGAAATCTCAGTTGTGGTAATCGGCCAAAATCCTCCACACTCAGTGAAATTACATTTTGTAGTTGGTGTGGAGTTGAAGTTCTTGTTATCTCTGGATGGAAAGGAACCAGTGTTACTGACAGTTACTAGATCTGGGAACTACTCTACTAGTGCATTAGGAGCCTTCTTCCTTTGTGCTTTAATGCTGTTTTAATCATGAAGTCCTACAATGGTTTATGGCACAAAATCAGCATTTGCTGTAGTAGTAACACCTAGTGTACACACACTTCTGTCGATGCAAAGGAGTCATTTAATGTTGCACCAATCCCAGTAGCATAGAGGAACTTCTTCTAAGACTTTTGCACCTGAAGGTAGCTGTTGTTGAATGTCAAGGAACAGTGATTAAATTACTCACTTGAATTATTAATGATGTCCAGTTCATAGAAGCTCTTAAAGCGTATCAGCAGTTCAGAAATTGAAGGCAAGGATCATGCCCTGTGGTGATTATGTAGGAGATGTGACTCCTGTATCAAGTGCTTGTCAAACTAACATGCAGTCTTAGTGGAAGGTAAACTGTGCTTTTGATTAGAGGTATTTTGATGTTTTTTAAAGTGATCTTTCAGTTGATAAGTATGCATGGGTTAGATGTGACTTGTTTGCCAGATTTGTTAATCTTTGCGTTGTCACTTAAATTATTTTGTGCACTTGCTGAACAATTTACTTGAGAAGAATTCTGTGCTGCATTG